CACCTCTGATAGACTAACAGAGCTCAAAAATGAACCACATTAAAAATAATGAGCTCCAGCATAGGTTTAGCAGAGTAGGTGAAGGCCCAACTGTCAAAGTCTATGGGTACGCAAAGGGGGGAGATCATTCTATCACACCATGCTATAGCTGTGTTACATAAGTTAATTTTTAAAAACAGTTTTATTGAAGTATACATTGAATAATGAATGGCACATATTTAAAGTGTACAATTTAATAAATTTTGACATATTTATACACACACGAAACCATCGACATAATCAAGATAGTGAACATATCAATCACCTTTGCATGTTTGCTTGTGCTACTCTGTAATCCTCCCTCTCTCCCCACCCTGGCACCCCCTACCAGTCTCCAGGCAACCACAGATCTGCTTTCTGTCACTGTAGAGCCTTTGCTTTTTCTAGAATTTTATATAAATGGAATCATATATTACATGTTCTTTTTTGATTGGTTTCTTTTACTCCCCATAATCATTGCCATGGTTGCTCATGGATCCTCAGGTTGCTCATAAGTGTACTGTAGTATTATGCCCATGTCAAAGTCCTGTCATTTTCAACCCTGAGGACTCCATGTAGTTGATGAGTTGCTCATGTAGCCTGGAAATCTAGAGGAGTTGCAAACTTTGACAAATGGGAGACACGAGCCACCTGACAAATTCTTCATTCCTTGCCCAGAGACATGATTGAGAATGCAGTAGCTTCCTAAGACATCACTGAAGAGACAAAGCAGTCGAACTGTTACAAAGCTGTAACCAGCTTGGTAATTGCTATGGTTGGAATGTGTCCACCAAAGTTCATGTGCTAGGAACTTATTCCCCAGTGCAACAGTGTTGCAAAGTGTGACCTTTAGGAGGTGATTAGGTCATCAGGGCCCTGACCTCATGGGGGGATTAATGCCATTGTGTCTGGAGTGGGTTAGTTATCATAGGAGTGGGTTCCTGATAAAAGAATAAGTGTGGCTCCCTCCCTCCCATCTCTTGCTCTCTTGCCTTTCTGCTTTCTGCCATGGGATGACTGCAAGAAGGCCCTCACCAGAAGTGACTCCTCAATCTTCAACTTTCCAGCTTGCAAAACCATGAGCCAAATAAAGTTCCACTGTTTATAAATTACCCAGTGTGTGATATCTGTTATAGCAGCACAAATGGACCGAGACATGGATTTGCTCTCATTCCTGCCTCAGTTTCTCTTTCCATTCTTGCTTCCCGAGGATTGAACTTACCTAATATCTTGTTAACACCTAAGCTTTTGCTTCAAACTCTGTTTTCTGGAGGAGCTGGGCTAAGACAATTGATGCCATTTATTCAGTGCTTACTATGTACCAGACACCATTTTAAGCACTTTACATTATTCTTTTTTTATTGTGGTAAAATATATAAAATGTGTCATTTTAACCAGTTAAGTATGCAGCACTTGAAATTTGAAATTTGTCATTTTAACCAGTTAAGTATGCAACACTTATTTTTAAAGTAAACTTTAAAAAATAAAGTAAAATGTGTATAGACAAGGACAGAATTCATAAGTGTACAGCTCAATGAATTTCTGTAAATTGAGCACATCTGTTCAAGATAGAAGCACCAGAGAAGACTTCCTTGTACCTCTGCCAGTCATTATCCCATCTCATAGGAAATCACCATTTTGACTTCTGTCACCATTTTTCTGCTTTTAAGTCATGCAGTAGAACCCTTTTATGCTTGAATTCTTTTGTTCAATATTGTGTTGCTAAGATTCATCAATAATGTATATAGCAATGGATTGTCCATTTTCATTGTATATAGCATGTCATTGTATGATGATGTCATAATTTAGCCATTATATTTTAGTTAGAAAACATGCCCTTTTGATTTCAATCATTAAAGGCGATGAGACTTACTTTAGAATCCACTGTAAGGTCAAATTTTATAAATGACACATGTGCACTTGAAAAAAATGTGTATTCTGAAGTTTCAGGGGGCAGTGATCTACATATATCAATTAAGTCAAATTCATAAATCACATTTTCAAAGTCTTGTGTATGTCAACTGATTTTTTGACTGCTTATTATATCAGTTCATGAGAAATATAGGTAAAAAAATCTCTGATTATGGTCTTGCCTATTTCTCTTTTAAGTTGTTGTTTTTTAAAATTTATACATTTTGAGGCTGGTTGTTAAGCAAATAGACATTTAGGATTGTTATAACTTTCTACTGTTTTGACTCTTTTGTCATTATGAAATGTCCCTATTTATCTTTCTGTAATACTACTTGTGCTAATAGCAATTTTTCTGATATTAATATTACTTCCCAGGTATCTTATGATTTAATATCTTACTTTCTATTTGTGCCTTCTTTTAGATTTAACAAGTATTTTTCACTAGTTCATTTTCCCTTCTCTTAGTTGTTAGTTGTATAACATATGGTTGTCCTTTTAGTGATTATCCTAATCATGGCAATAAGCAACCTTGATTTGTCACCCTAAATTAGTTATTTTACTACTTCCTGGGCAATGGAAGAGCCTTATAGTTTAACTCTATTTGTTACCCTTCCTCCAAATTCTCTTTATATTTCAGAAGACATTATGATTACTGCTCTGAACAGTCAATATTGGTATAATTTTACTAACACTTTTACCCTTCCCTGTAGTTCTCTTCATGCACTATTGGACTTTCATCTTGGCATCATTTTGTTGCTGCTATTGTTTTTACCTGAAGACTTTTCTTTCATATTTCTTTTGATGTGGGTCAGCTAGAAACAAATTCATATCAGTTTTTGTTTATCTGAAAGCATCTTTATCTTGCCTTCATTTCTTCTTTTTTTTTTATCTTTTAGAGACAGCCTTTTGCTCTGTTGCTCAGGGAGAAGTACAGTTGCATGATTATAACTCACTGCAGCCTCAAATTCCTTGCCTCAAGCAGTTCTCCCTCCTTGGCCTCTGAAAGTGCTGGGATTACAGGCATGAGCTACCACGCCCTGCCATTTTCCCTTCATTTCTTAAGACTATTTCCACTGTACATATATATATATATTTTTTTGAGACAGAGTCTCGCTTTGTTGCCCAGGCTAGAGTGAGTGTGTTGGCGTCAGCCTAGCTCACAGCAACCTCAAACTCCTGGGCTCAAGCGATCCTCCTGCCTCAGCCAAGTCGCTGGTACTACAGGCATGCACCACCATGCCTGGCTAATTTTTTCTATATATATTTAGTTGGCCAATTCATTTCTTTCTATTTATAGTAGAGACTGGGTCTCACTCTTGCTCAGGCTGGTTTCGAATTCCTGACCTCAAGCAATCCACCCTCCTTAGCCTCCCAGAGTGCTAGGATTATAGACGTGAGCCACCGTGCCGGCCCATACATAAAATTTTGAATTTGTGGTTATTTAAAGCTTATTAAAGATGTCATTCCATTTTTTCCCATTGTTTCTCTTGAGAAGTCAACTTGCATTATTGTTGAAGTTTGATTTATTTTTTCTCAAGCTGCTTTTAAGCTTTCTCTTTGTCTTTTGTTTTCAGCATTTTTACTAAGATTTTCCTAAATTGTGATTTTCTTTGTGTTTATCCTATTTAGAGTTAGCAGAGCTCTTGAATCAGTGGTTGTTTTGTCAGGAAATTTCTAGCTAGAGTCTCTTCTTGCTTCTGTCTTATTTTCTTGGTGGTTTCTTTGTTGGAGTCCTATTTCTCTATTTACTATGTTAGAACTTTTCACCTTTCCCATATATTTGCCATTTTCTTTTTAATTCTTTTTTCTGTGGTTCAGTTTTGTTATTTATTTAGTTGGTATTTTTAAAGAAAAAACAACAGCAGGACATCAAGGTCAACATTAACAAAAAACAGTTGCCTCATTTCTTTTACAGAGAAATTTACAGAGTCTTTTTGCCAAGATTATTAAGAATAGGACCATCTAAGACTCTCCAACTCTTTGACAGAGGTGATAACCACTGAGAACATACATTCTCTCTCTCTCTTGTTTGGCAATGAATTCAGATACATTAAACTGCCAGTAATTTTACACTTAAGCCTTGTATGCCACTAAGATACATCATAGAATAGCCATTGTACAAATTTATGGGTAAGTTTTTGTTTCTAACAATGATTAGGGAGCTGAGAGCATTACTGGCCTTTATTGGACTAGAGCTAGGAATGTTATATATTCTGCAGTGCAGGGGAAAGTCCCTTATAAGAATCAATGGTTGTACATATTGCATGACTTTCAACAGTTTTGCTGGAATATTCATGTAGGTGACATACCTGCTAATAATGACCTAATCCTGTATCCTTATGTCCTTTTACATATGAACCCTAATTTTTTTTTTGCACTATTTAAATAGAAATTGTATTCTCCATGAGTAGTACTCAGAGGGAATATTGTGTTGCTTGTTTGGAACTTTATGGAGTTAGCCACAATTTTGGAAAATCACATGAACTACCTTATTCTGCTCATGGTATTTTTGTTGCTTATACATGTCATGTTTTGCTAGCAATGAAATACATAGTCCGAATATGTATTTGATGGGATTTTATAGATGCAAACATCTCATTACTTCATTGGTCTTCTACATTTCATGATGAAATAATATTAAATATTACTTTGTTATAAATTATCTTTCCTTTATTTTCTCTTTAAAGTTGTCACATTGTTGGGTATATTTATTTAAAAACAAATGTAAGTACATGATATTACTAATGTTAGCTCAATAAAATTATAATTTCATTGCAGGATTTTTATTAAAAAAGAGGTCTGAAGTCTGATAAATTGAAATCAACCTGGGTAGAATCATGATATTTGTTAAGCTTGATTTCAACACACTGATAAGACTCAATATAAAAAAAGCTCTTTTATTTATTTTTTATTTTAATTATTCTTTTAAAAAATTATTATTGTTACGTAAAGCGGTTGTAGGCACCATTAAGTGTCCATTGCCTTCAGGCCAGGAACCTTTGGGCCTTCGGTTGGAGTTGCCCATCGTCTAGACCCAGACGGGAACCTTGGTGCGGTGACGCTGGTTTCCGGCGGGCTCCTTAGAGCGCCGAACAGCTTTGGCCGAAGGACCATGAGAGGGCCGGAGCCGGGTCCCGAGCCAACGATGGAGGGGGACGTGCTAGACACACTGGAGGCACTAGGGTGAGTGTCCCTGGGGACACCTTTCCCCCGAAAACGTAACCTTTCTTTCTGCTTGGATCCTGCAACCGCCATCCCTTGGGCCTCCGCTGGGCCCGCTTGGCCAGGTGCAGGCCTACTTCCTTGCCTTGCTCCCTCCGGCGCCGACAGAGTTAAGCGGGAGGCGGGAGAGAAATCCGTTTTAGGGGTGGAGCAGGGCTGGAGAGCTGGGGTGCGTGGCCCCCTATTCCAAACTTCTTTCCTCAAAACTCTGCTGCCGGAACCCGCGGGATGGCGCGGAGCGGCCGGGCCAGCCCTGTGCCCGCAGGTGATATTTATGTTGACGTAGTTGTAGCGCGTGGAGGCAGGTGTTGGAACCTGAACTGCGGCTGAGGACTCTTACCTCCTAAAGTGTACAACTTGTGGCTTGCTTGGGACTCAGGAGCGAATCTCTCATACTTCTCTGGCCAGAGAGAGTGTTTTTAGCGCGGGTCCATTCATTCAGTCATTTCATCTGTTGACTAACAGCGTATATATTACCTTGTGTGACAATATTGTGTTACATATTAACTTATTTGATTCATGAATACACAAGTATGTAAATTTCCCCTAGGCAGGGGAAAATGGCAGTTTTCAGATCACTGTTAGTTTACATAATGGGGAGGCTACAAAGAATCTTGTGATATTTACCACTCAAGGTGGTAAATTCTGTGAGAACTGGCGTAGAGGTAGGGTGATGTTAATACTTAAAGTTGTGGGAATCCATAATCTCCTCCTCAGCCTTATCCTGTTTTTCTTCACAGCCCTTGTCTCTACCCAAATTATCCTTTCCTGCCTATTTATTTGTCTCTTGAAGTCCCCTTCTCCTTTTCTCCCTCCTCTGCAAATCAGTTCCTGGAAAACTGATGCCTTGCCTGTTTTGTTCGCTGATGTATTCCCAGCACCACTTCTAGAACGGGATCTGTTACAATAAATAGTGGTTGAATGAATGAATAAATGAATGAAGAAAAGTTCAAAGAGGAGAGTGCAGGGTGGTAAGCATAGGATCAGTTAGTTGAGAGTCAAAATGCACATTAATTAAGAAGTTTGGAGTCATCTGCACAATTGTTTACTTTGCTATGTGATGCAGTTTCTTGATAGGGTAAGGCATGCCTTTGCGGTGTTATTATGAACCTCAAACACCACCTGCTACCTGCTTTTTTCCTGAAATAGCATTTGCTCCTCTATCAACTGTCTCTTTAGATAGACCCTGATAATACCTATTTTGCAGTGACCCAGTGTTACAGAGCTTTACACTTAGCAGATCCTGAGTAAATATTTGTAGAATGAAAGAACAGAGCCATTGATTATTTAGGTGGCATTTTTACTTCTGTGAAATCCCTTGGAAATTCTGAAATAACTTGGTTAAGAAAGTAACCACAACAAGAAATTAAAATACTTAGTAGAAGTATTTAGGCCCCAAATCATTTGAGTTCCCAAGTAACTCTAGATAAGAATAGTGGGATCTCATAGTTTATGAAAAGGGAAAAGTTGGTGCCTTTTTTTCTTTTGTTCCTTGAACTCGTTTATATAATAGGTGTTTTAGAAAATGAAGTTTGTTATCTTGACTTTTATTAAGGAAAATTAGTTTCAGATTATTAAATATGGAAAGTAAAACAGTTTACACACTTTAGAAGCATTTTTTCATGGTGTAACCGAAAACAAAATTTTGAAGTAGCCACAACAAAAATAAGTAAATGGGAATTGATTAAATTAAAAAGCTTTGGCACAGCTAAGGAAATAATCAGCAGAGCAAATAGACAAAGTACAGAATGAGAGAAAATATTCGCAAGCTGTACATTTGATAGAGGGCTAACAACCAGAATCTTCAAAGAACTTAAGCAAATTAGCAAGAAAAAGCCCAAATAACTCCATTAATATTTGGGCAAAAGACACAAACAGAAGCTTTTCAAAAGAAGATAGACAAATGGCTAATAAATATGAAAAATACTGAATGTCACTAATCATCAGGGAAATGCAAATTAAAACCACAATGAGATACAACCTTACCCCAGTTAGAATGGCTAGTTAGAAAGTCCAAAAATAGTAGATCCTGGAATGGGATGCACAGAGAAAGGAACGCTTATACACTGTTGGTAGAACTGCAAACTAGTACAACTTTTATGGAAAACAGTAGGGAGATTCCTCATAAAACTAAAAGTAGACCTACCATTTTATCCAGCAATCCCGCTACTGGATATTTACCAAAAGAAATCATTTTATCATAAAGACACCTGCATTCAAATGTTTATTGCAGCGAAGTTCACAATTGCAAAGATGTGGAAGCAACCCAAGTACCCATCAATTCATGAGTGGATTAACAAAATGTGGTATATGTATACTATGGAATACTCCTCATTTATGAAGAAGGATGAATTAAGGCCTTTTGCAACAATTTGGATGAAACTAGAGACTGTTATCCTGAGTGTGGTATCTAAGGAATGGAAAAACAAGCACCACATGTACTCGCTATTAAATTGGAACTAACTGATGAGCACATGTGTATGGAAGGAAGTAAAACTCACTGGAAATCAAACACGGGAGCGGGGAGGAAGGGATGAGTGAAAACCTGCCTAATGGATACAGTGAACATTGTCTGGGTGATGAGCTCATTTATAACCCTGACTCAAGCATAACAGAAGTGATCCATATAACCAAAAACATTTGTACACCCATAATATTTTGAAATTTAAAAAAGTTTACATGGACTGTTTAGGGTCAAATCTGGATTTAAATCGTATTATCATTGCTTAATTACTTATCTTCTGATCTCACAGAATTGCATTAATATTAACTTAAAGTATTGTAAAGATTGAATGAATTATAAATAAATAAATATACCTTGCACTGTGCCTGGCTGGCTTCTTAAGGTGGGTATCCTAACCTTCTTAAGTCTTCATTTCTTTATATGCAATTTGGGGATTTGAAAATACCTGTACTCATCCTTCATTTGATACAACCAGAGAATTTAGAGAAAAAGAAATGAAAATGGCCTCTAAACATATGCAAGGATATATAGCCTTGCTCATAGGAGATATGTAAATTGAAATTATGCCAGGTGGTCAAAAATCCAAAACTTTGACAACTTTGTTGTGTTATGGGGGAATAGGTATTCTGATATCTTGATGGTACAATCCATACAGAGAAAAATTTAATAGTAGCTAGCAAAATTATCAATACATATCTATATATCCTTTGACCCAACAGTTCTGTCTCTGGGAATCTGTCCTAGATATATATGTTGACAAAAATTTGCCAAACTATAATAGCAAAACACTAGTAACAACCCATATGTCCTTCAGTAGATGCTGATTAAATAAGATATGGTGCATCAAGATAGTGGGGTAGTATATAACTGCAAAATTTGATTGAATCGTATTTCTAAATACTGATTTCTGGTGTATGTAAGAGTGTATGTGTGTGAGAGAGAGAGCAAGCAAGCAAGCACGTATGTGTTTAAAGCAAAGAAAAGAACGGTATGTAGTAGGCTACCATTTATTTTAAAAAGGAGAAAAAAAACGCTTATATTTACATGGAAGAACAACCTCAAACTAATAAATATAGTTACCTATAGGGAAGGTGGGGAACAAGAGTAAGATTACAAACTAGATTTGTCTGAATATATTTTATTTTTAAGGTAGACTTTGAAACTATATTAACATTTTACATAATTATAAAACAGAATGAAACGAAGTCAAAACAGAACAAGAGACAAATCCCTAAATCAGGGTTCCTCAAACTTTTTAAACGGGGCCAGTTCACTGTCCCCTCAGACCGTTGGAGGGCTGGACTATAGTTTTAAAAAAACTATGAACAAATTCCTGTGCACACTGCACATATCTTATTTTAAAGTAAAAAAGCAAACGGGCAAAAACACCCGCATGTGACCCGTGGGCGGTAGTTTGAGAACGCCTGCCCTAAATATTAAAAGCAAGTGAAACAAATGTCTACCACTATATTGAGTAGGAGGTTTAATAACATGGGAAGGAATTGTTTTTCTACACATTACTTGAATATATTCTAAAGATAAAAAAATTAAGCTGTTTTCAGTAAGTTTATTAGTAATAATGCTGGATTTCCTATTCTGAAACTATGCAATTTGTTTTTATATAATAGGATTATATAAATGTCATTAGAAACAAGAATTTTATTTTTGCCCTTGATTTATTTCTTTAGAAAGTACTAATTGAACACCTACTATGTTTCTTTTTACAGTTATGTAGCATTTTTTTTTTTTTTGAGACAGAGTCTCGCTTTGTTGCCCAGGCTAGAGTGAGTGCCGTGGCGTCAGCCTAGCTCACAGCAACCTCAAACTCCTGGGCTCGAGTGATCCTTCTGCCTCAGCCTCCTGAGTAGCTGGGACTACAGGCATGTGCCACCATGCCCGGCTAATTTTTTTTTATATATATATCAGTTGGCCAATTAATTTCTTTCTATTTATAGTAGAGACGGGGTCTCGCTCTTGCTCAGGCTGGTTTTGAACTCCTGACCTTGAGCAATCCGCCTGCCTCGGCCTCCCAAGAGCTAGGATTACAGGCGTGAGCCACAGCGCCCGGCCGTTATGTAGCATTTTATTTTTATTTTCATTTTTTCAATTTGTGTAAATTTAAGAGGTACAAGTACAGTTTTGTTACATGTGTGAAGTCTGGGCTTTTAGTGTATCTCTCATGTGAATAATGTACATTGTACCTGTTAAGCAATTTGTGATCACCACCCCTCCACCATTCCGAATCTCGAGTGTGTATCATTCTACACTTTATGTCCATATGTACACGTTATTTAGCTCGCACTTATAAGTGACAGCATGCAGTATTTGACTTTCTGTTTCTGAGTTCTTTCACTCAAGATAATGGCCTTCAGTTCCATCCATGTTACTGCAACAGACATGATATCATTCTTTTTTATGGCTGCATATAATATTCCATTGTGTTTCTAAACCACATTTTGTTTATCAGCAGTCATCCATTGGTGAACACTTAAGTTGA